AATAGCTGCTAAGGACTTCTCCTTTGCTATCTCCTCATCATGTTCCCTTTTCGTAGCATGTTGTTCAAAATTCTCATGTTTACTTCTCCACCCCCTCCAACGATTCAGTTAGTACCTCCAATCTATTTTTTCCTGCTTTCCAGCTTATCTCTCTAAGAATGAGGTTTCTCATTTGCTAAATAACTGAAATCCCCCTATCATACTACTCCATTATGGTTTTCCATATCAATGCACTCTTCTCCTGTTCCAACTTGTTAACCTTTGGTTAGGTGGGGGGAGACTTGACTTTAACCATGGTCCATATTGATCTATCATATCGTCATTATGGGTAGGGCAGAATAATTTTGGATGCCATATCCCACATGAGAAACATAAAAAGTGGTAAACGCTCGTACTTCATCTTAAACCTCTAACTTCTCCTCCTATCTACAAGTTCAAGTCATCCCTCAACATAGTAGCAATGTCTTTTGCCATCCTTATCCGCATAAAGTCACTCAAAGGGTAAGAATTCTTCTCATCAAACAGCAGAAACCTCCCAAATCTTGGAGCTATCTTCTTTGCCATCTTACGGGTTCTCATATCTACAGGTATGAAAGAAATTTGTAGCCATACCTCCATCTCTTTCATAGCCTCCACAATTGGTTTCTTCTATAAACTTGCTTGTGAAAAAATAAGCAGGTTATTGTCATAATACCAAGGTCCCCCATGGAGACCTTATTCCTGTTATCAACATGTGCGAATTGAAAAGAAAACATTTGGCTCCCTATATCTCTGATATAAAATGGTTTGATCGTGTGCCGGACCTTCTCCAGCATTTAGCAAGCCCAACCTCTGAGAAGGAGGTTACTCATTTGCAGTACCCGGAGATTCGGTTTTTTAGATGGTACTAGACGTGCTACCAAGCCAAACCTTAGGAGCTCCTCACATATGTCTTCGAGCATGTCCTTTCTGTTCACAACTAGCACAACACTTCATCATCAACTAACGTCACTCTCTGCAGTCCATCCTCCATATCTTCATTTGGGTTACATTCGTTGTTAGGATTAGGGTTTTCTGTTTTCTTAATTTGTCTCGCTCCGCTCTTAGCAACATCTTTATTCATCTCTTTTTGACGTTTTCCATGACCTAGTCCAGCTATAGCTTTCACTGTGATTTTCTCGGAACTCTATTAGCAAAAGAAGATTCACTGGCTCTTTAATAGTCTGAGGAGCTAGGGTTTTAACCAAAGCACTCACCTACACCGCTCTCAATAAAACCTTTCCTCCTTGTATAGAAAACCTCTCTAATCCTCTGCCAACTCAAATAAGGACAATTTAAAACTCCGAAACATCAACCAAGACCCCTCTCAACATAAACACTAACTCACAATCCACCTAACCAAGCAAACTAGAGATTTAGCCAAGCAAAACTAGCCTAATTGCCCTCGCGCCGACCGAAATCCTATTTGAACCTCTCGCAACTCTAGGGAGAAAAAAATGACGAGGTGAAGAAAATTCAGTTTATCCCACTATAGCAATTAGCAAGCCATTTTTGTTCATTTCACCTAGGAAATAGAAGGAGGTTGGCTTAGGATTTATTATTATGTTTTGGAAATCTTTTTACCGTCAATTAAGAGCATACACATTGGTACTGCATTCTCAATTGCAAATTGACATGGAATTGGTGTTTGCAATTGCAAAACCAATTGCATTGATGTGGATACCAATTGCATATTTGCAAGCTTGCAACAAATACAATTGCATATACAAGTTAAAAAGGCCTAAGAAAAAGAGATTTTTTGTTTTGTTTTATTTTATTTTATATTATTTTCTTTTCTCTTTTACATTATTTTCTGTAATTTAAACATCATATTTTATTTCATATGCAATTGCATTGATTTAGTTGAATGAAAATGATTTGAAGTGGATTGAAAAAATTGATTTGACAATAAAAAACACAAATGCAAGAGGAATTTGTGAGAAAAAATCTGAGAATACACTAGTTATTGAAATGATTTCCCAAAATAAATTAGTTATAAAAATAATTTTCAAAGTACACATGTTTCTTAATCACCGCAATGGTCCAAGACAGTGAAATAAATCACCGTAATAGACAAAGACAGTGAATATATAACTATTTTATTAAAAACAGTGAAATAATCACTATACTGCAACAAAACGGCAAACTAATCACCGCGCTGGACTAAGACAGTGAACCTATTCATCGCAATGGACTCCTGCGGTGATTTTTGACTTCCATCCACATCATCAATCCGCGCCCCCCGCCCCTTCACCGCAGCCGTAGGATGCAGTGAGGCACAGATGTTGGTTTTCCCCCCAGATCCGACGTCTCACAGCATCCCACATTAGCGATCCGCACCAGATCACAGCGCCCCCGCTCCTCACAGCGTCCCACGTCAGCGATACGCGCCTCATTGCGTCATTCAGTTTGTACATTGTTCTACCACCGCACAAATACACTCCCAGGGTTGGGCTGCTCCATTGCGGCCATTAGTCTAGGGAGTAAACCATATGAGTAGTCCCAATCACCATACACCTCAACCATGGTCTTCTGCTTTCCATGCCATGCCTTCTTGTACATGATCGTGTAGGAATGTCGATCCTTCACCTCGACCATGATGGCTTTGATCTTGATATCTGGTTGTGCCTCGATCAAGTGCTTAATGGTTCTTGCCACTTTCTTTGCTTTAAGTTGGCGGTGATCCTGGGAAAGTATGGATGAGGAGCATCTGTGATTGTTCTCTGCTTTTCGAATGACACAGACACCCTTTTTGTTCATATTTGCAGCCCGCAGTTGCTACATACAACCCTCTCTAGGATTCTTGCATATGACATGTAGTTGTTTGGTGTCAGAATGTTTTACCTTCCACTCGAAATTGCACCACATGGCTTATTCGCCAAAAGCATCTTGAACATCGTCTTTCGAAGTGAACGTCATACCCACCTTCAAATTGGCAGTTGTATTATACACTGGCATAGGGAGAAATTCAGGGGCATCGTTCTGACTAAATAAGAATTAAGATGGAACCTCTATGTAGTATGACGTTGGTGGCTCACGGAACGCCACCTCATCATCGTCGATATCGTCCGTATCTTCCTCCTCGCTTACTGATCTCAAATATTCCTCACTTTCCTCGTCGCTGGAGGTGAATGGATAGCTCGGCCCAGGAGGATCATTGTGACCTGCATCAACAACATCGTCTTCTCGCTCATGCGAAGTACGCCCAGATCGAAGGGTGTTCTCAATGTCAGCCCACTCTGCCCCCAAGCAGGCCATTGAAGGTCGTCGGGCTCAACGAATGGGACATGCTCAGCATGTTGCGTGTATTCTTCCCATGCCACACCTCCTGCAGAACTACCTCCTCCGTAGTTGCTTGAACTACCACTCCATCTGTACCCTCCTGCAAAACCATCATAATAAGAATACTGGTGAGAATGAGTTTCACCCACCACCTCGGTCTCAACATACACCTCTGCAAGCCGCATCTCGTTGTCAAATAGGAACTGTATCATCATGGTAACCACGTCATCATCATTTATAACAACTTCTTCGTACATAACTCCGCCAACACTCATGTTTGGATAACGGCAAGTAATTTTACCAACTCTCGTCTTTCCGCACATACAAATCCTGTCTGCACAAATGTCACAGAGTTCTTGCCACGTGAATCTCGATTCAATTTTCAGCATAGTGGATTCACCATCTTCATAATCGATCCCAATGTCAGAGTTTGTCACTCGACCATTCCACCGAATAATAAGTCGAAACTTCTTAAATTTACTAATGTCTGCAATTTATAATAAGTAACTATTAGCTTAACTTGAATAAGATTAGTATAGTATAATTAGTACTTGGGGCTACACAAACAGTATTCAACACCATATTTTTAGGGCTACAAAAATAATATCATCCAAAATCATAAACAACCACAACTAACTAATCAAAACATGGACCATAATTAGCATTACAATAACATGAGTATACTAAACAAATTCATCTAAATTAATCTAACTAACATCAATCATACCATAGTTAATCTAAATATCTCTAACATAACATATTTACCACTAACCGAAATTCATTAAATACAAACATATAATTATTAAAACATCAATATCTAAACAATATATAATTATATCATATCGAAAATTTGAGTTTCTGTATCCGTAGTTGCTGGAAGTAGGCTGTGAAGGCGATTTTTGCAGAAATTTTAGTGGAACGGGGCAGATTTTTGAGGCACGTACGTGGGAGTTCGATTATTTATACGCAAACCAGGTCAAATAATCACCGCAAGAGTCCATAGCAGTGTAGTGTTCACCGCAGTAGCCTATTGCGGTGAATGCTAAGTCGTTGTGACCTAATTTTCCATCTACCAGAGCTAGAAAACGTAGTACCGCTTTTCACAAGTGCGGTGATATATTCACCGTTGTCAACCAGCGCGGTGACAACTTCACCATTTTAGCCAATTGCGATGAACGAAAAGGCAAGAGGGCGAGGGAAGAGAAGGGTCAACTAGTCAAAGGGAGGACGGGAGGCGGCCCACGACGATGAATTTGTGACTGCGGGAAGCCACGTGGCCAATTTAGCCAAATCTGTTGTTCTTGCTTAGGTTCGAAACGACATCATTTTAGGCAGTAGGAAATTAGGATACCAAAATCAGAGGACTTCCCGAGGAAGAGGACGGAAGAATAAGACGACGACCCTAAAATTTCTCCGCATTTGGATTCCAGAGCTTTCTCTCTGTAACGAGGTAATTGTGCTATCCGCCATTTTTTTCTCATTCATTCGAGCTCTCCTTCCGTTTCTCTAGCCTTTCGCGTTCTTCGTCCCCGGCTTTTTGAATTGTTTTGTCTTATGTTTATGACGGTGCTGATGATGTCGGTGATGCTTCGTTGTTCTGTAATTGCTCCTGTTCGTAATAGGAACGGGAAAATCAAGAATTTTCTTCTGTTAATTGGTATTACATACATGGAGGAGATTTTGTCAGTGGTGATGTGTTTTTTTAGTCAATCTTGACATTAATTGACGGAGATGGGGAGGAAGAGAAGGAAAAAGGGGAAATTGGAGTTCTAGGGATCTTCATGGATTGGGGAGAATGAATCCATGCTAAAATTGCAATGGATTTACACAAATTTCTGAAGTGCCACTGTGGGTCATTTTTCAAGGCTTAGTCCTTCATTTCTCTTCCGTTTCTACTCCTTTCAACCAATTTCCCCTTCACGAGGATAAACTTAAGCACTTGGTATGTTCCTTGCAGGTTTCAGAATTTATTTGAGCTTGGCCTTTCCTCTCTGCGATAAGAAGTCGTTTGGAAGTCGGCCAGGTTTCTCTTTCAGCTGCTGCCAATTTACCACTGGGGTCCTTGAGTAGTAACGTTTTAGAATATTAAGGATTTGTAGCGTCAGCCACAATTCATTTCAGCCATGCCTGGGGCTGGTTCCTTGCAATTGTCTCATGATTTGGGACTTTGCAAGAGCCAGAGCCGTAGGCAATTTAAGGTATATTTTTATGTTTCGTTTTGGAAGCTTTCTTGCCATATTCATTTCAAATGTGATGCCCAGTTTCAGGAAGGAACACTAACTAAGTAAGATGGTTGTTCCCAGGATACACTAGGAAGGAGCAGGCTACCTTCCTCAAGTGCTAGACTGTCTTCATGTGTTTCGGTAATGTCCAGATCATCAAAACTTGTTCCAGGATTCATGAACAATAGTGCAAATTGCTAAATAGGGTCTTCGTCATGTTTCTAGCTTCTCAGATTTTGAATGTAGATTTTAAATAGAAAAACCGAAAGAGATGAGATTACCCGTTGGAGCTTACATTGATTCACTTTCTCTCAACAGCTCGGGCTTATTTATCTGAACACCCTTGATCTACCGTGTTGCCGCTTAAAGGATATCTGATTTCTAAGTGTTTCTAGTTTCTCTTCTCCGCTTTAATAATATAAAGCTATATGAGCCCCTGTTGAGAGACCAGCTAGAACATGTATTTTTGGGGGTTAGGGAGGCGGTATCCTCTCTTTTCATCCACCTGGTAGCAGATTGGCTGGTTAATGCTACTAGCTAGATAATGGAGCATGCAAGAATATTTTCTGTTCGCTTGTCTTTGCTGTTCCAGCTCTTGTGCATAAGATGGTCATTTTTATTGTGTTGCAAAAACTGGATTTCCTGTGTATCATTGAACAACATAACATTGTTTTTCTTTCTTAGAATTTAAAGCTTCAACACAACCCCCCCCCCTGCTATGACAGAATTCAAAAGTTTGAAATTCCCTTATGACACTTGGTAACCCTGGTTCAATGTGATCTTCTGACACTTGGTTTCTGAACTCCAGAGACAGGACAGCTGGACTCTTCGTGTTTTGGGAAGTACTTACAGATCCACCTGCTATGTACCAAAAAGAAGTAACACTTTAAGGTGCCATTCTACGTTAGTACCTGGTCAAATCCTTGAATTTCCTGTCATAAAGGCTGCTTCAGGAGCTTTGACGAGGTAACTACTTGTATTCTGTTAGCTCACCAACGTTGATATCTTAGTGCTTTTTGGTAGTGTACTAGTATAGGTTTTGGGTTTAATTCGTTATTGGTATTTCTATCTTATGTTGGTTTATTGCATATGGGTATCACTAGAATACTGGATTTGGTGTCCTGTTTTTGCTACTAACTTGATGGCTGTGTTTTTCGGATTATCGTGTATAGTTTATAACGCACTAAACTATTTCAGGGCCTATAACAATCTACAAGGCAGTCCTCTTGTACTCAGGATAGCTCCAGCTGTAGGTATTATTGTATTTGCTCTATGGGGTCTTGCACCGCTTATGCGTCATAGCCGAAATCTAATACTGCGTGTATGTATTCTTTTGTAGTTCTCTTTCTTCTTCCTTTTACAATTTGTGTATTCTTTTGAGATTCTGTTTGTAATGCTGGATGTATTACAGAAAAATGATAACGGTTGGAAGAAGAGTAACACATACCATGTCACGACCTCTTACCTTCAACCTTTGCTGCTGTGGGCAGGTGCAATATTTATATGCAGGTACAACCATGGAACCTCATTATTTGTTGGTAGTATGTTAAGCTTTTGTGTAAGTTATGCCTAACATGCAGTTACTAGATGATGTACTCATTCTAGTTGGATTACTGTAGGGCGCTGGATCCTGTTGCTCTTCCCACAGAAGCTAGTCAGATTGTCAAGCAAAGGCTACTTAATTTCATACAGTCATTATCAACTGTGCTGGCATTTGCATATTGCTTATCACGGTGACTGACGCTTCTTAACCATTCCTTATCTTGTTTTCATGTGTTTGTGTTGTGTATCATTAGTTTCCACCTTGTCCTAGTTTCTATCTCCCTCTTTCTGAGCAGTTATGTGAGTCTGACAACTGAACGAGATGTGTGAAATGTGTATTTCACTGGATAGAGCTCCCCTTTAGGAATCTGATATTGAACATTATTGTTTTTTTTCTCCATATCTGAACTTCACTTAAACAATTTTTCTGCAGCCTGATTCAACAGACCCAGAAGTTGTTTGTGGAATCTAGTGAGATCAACGATCGAGGAAATGTGCGTAAATATTCTGCAACACAATAAAGTTATTTTTGTTATATGCTTTTGAGTTCTATCTCTATATTCACCTAATACACCTTTAATTATTCTAATTATCGTTGTACAAGAACGGTACTGAGGAGGGATTCATAGTTGGGTTTGTCATATTACCATAGGATTTGCATTGTTCCCCCTTCTCCTAGCTGCCCCATTGAGTGCGCTCAATCAGGCCATTCTATGGAATGGCAATTTCCTAAAGTGAAACTATTGCCACCTTCATTTGATACTCCCGATGGGCAGGAACAATTCGGCTTACATCCGTTTTGAACCTATTACAATATGATGTATTCATCGTTGGATATTCATTTGCAAATACATTTCCTCCTTATGGGCAACATCTTTTCCCTTTTAAATAAGTGTTTGTTGATATTCCTTCACGTTTGTGGCAGATGGGGTTAGACTTTGCTGGGAAAGCTGTGTACTCTTCAGTGTGGATAGCTGCTTTTTCACTCTTCATGGAGTTGCTGGGTTTCTCTACCCAGAAATGGCTTACTGCTGGAGGTCTGGGGACAGTATTGCTCACCCTTGCTGGCCGTGAGGTGAAATTTAGTTCCTTCCTCATTTTGGATTTCTTTCCGAACAGCTTTTAGTCATTGCATCAATTACCGAACTATGTACACACACGTATACATGCTCCATAGTTATGATTTTTTCCTCTTTGTTACAGATATTTACAAATTTTTTATCTAGTGCGATGATTCATGCTACTCGGCCTTTCGTTGTAAATGAATGGATCCAGACGAAAATTGAAGGCTATGAAGTTTCCGGCACGGTTGAGGTTCGTGTTCCACCCCCAGGCAAAAAAATAAAAAATCTTCGAGACCATAATTATTTCACTGCATGTAGAGTTATTATCCCTTCAGATGGTCAGAGTGTCATCTCGGAAACTTGGGAAAAGAATTATTGAGAGTACGTATTTGTTGATTTATGCAGCATGTGGGTTGGTGGTCACCAACAATAATAAGAGGTGAAGATCGTGAAGCAGTTCATATCCCAAACCATAAGTTTACAGTGAACGTTGTGCGAAATCTCAGTCAGAAAACTCATTGGAGAATCAAAACACATCTGGCTATTAGTCATTTTGATGTCAATAAAATCAATGTGAGGAACCATGTATTTTAACCAGGTCCTTTTTTTTTCTTATTCCCTGAATCAACATGACCTGGATCCTCTATTGATAAATGTAAGGCTTTTTCTTTTTCAGACAATTGTTGCTGATATGCGTAAAGTGTTGGCAAAGAATCCTCAGGTTGAGCAGCAAAGGTTGCACAGAAGAGTATTTTTAGAGAATGTCAATGCTGAAAATCAAGCACTCATGGTCAGTGCTCCCTTGATGAAAGGATAATGTGCCACCTGACCGCAAAGTGGTTTTTCCATACTTCAGTTCTGATATACTTTACCTGCATCATTGTTATTGCACTTCTTTCTGAATCAATGCTTTTAATCTCGAATATGTCATTCTTGCTTGATACTTGTGTGTCCACTAGTTTCTTGCCCAGGTTCACTATATATCTTAAGTTCATACTGAATATCAGGTCTCTTCTTCTTGCTAAGTGGTAACGCTCTTGTTTACTTCTGAAATACAGATCTTAGTGTCGTGTTTTGTGAAGACGTCACATTTTGAAGAATATCTCTGTGTAAAGGTAAGGAGTCTTATTTTCTGGTAGATTTGGTATCATTATCATTCCACTTGAAGCACTATTGGAAGTGCTTTTTTTTTGTGAAAACAGGAAGGCATACTGTTGGATCTTCTAAGAGTGATCAGCCATCACCGTGCCAGACTGGCCACACCAATCCGTACAGTGCAGAAGATGTACACTGATTCTGATATGGAAAACGTTCCATTTGAAGAATCGTTCTACAACAGTGATACTGGTGTAACATCTAATCGTCCTTTGCTACTAATCGAACCCTCTTACAAAATCAATGGAGAAGATAAAACTAAATCCCAAAGTCGAACATCCCGAACAGTTGGAGAGCAAGAGAATAATAAGAACATGCCACCTAAACCTTCAGTCGAGATTCAATCAGGAGGAAGTCAGAAGTCTGATTCCAAAGTGAAAGAGACAGCATCAGCAGCAGCAAATGCAAAGGCGGATGCCAAGGTTACCAAAGCAGCCCCAAATCCTGATGCCAACAAGAAGGCAGCAGAAAGACCAAGTTCCAGCGTCAAAGCTGCTGGCAAGCGTGTTGATGAGCCTTCAGTTTCATCATTGGAATCCCAACAGACGAAACAGGGAGGCGAGAGGAAATCTGTCTCTCAACCTTCAACTTCGAGGCCTGCTGCCTTGGAGGAGAATATTGTACTTGGTGTTGCTTTGGAGGGATCCAAGAGAACGTTGCCTATCGAGGAAGATGTCACTTCACCACTTGCTGTCCAAGGAGAGGTCAAGGAAACGGCTGGTGCTGGCCGACGTGACGGCAGCTCGGGGATGGACAAGAAGAAAGAGGACAATCAGGTTGCAACCAACTCTGCTGCAACTTCTTCTGGTGATCAGTAATGGGCACTGGATCATCCTGCTGCAAGTGGCTAATTGATCACATTTTAATCTTTGTATTCTGAGTTGGGTTATTACTTAACCACACTGTAAATTCTTTTACGTGCCGTCGATTGCCGTTCAGAGGGCTCTCTCTAATCGGACGTGCAAAAAGTGCATTCTTTTGTATTTGATGGCAATGGCCATTTTATTTGGTTGGCCTTCTTCCAGTCACTCCCGTTATAAGCATTATATTCTGAAACTCTCTTCTCCAGTCCATCGGAGAACCTCCGATCCCAGTTGCCGCCTCCGCCTCCTCGATATCTCTGATAGCTCAGCTGTTGATTAGAACCGCCTAGACGCCTAGTTGTAGATCACCATATCTCTCTCCTTCTCGATCTCTAGACCACCGGAAACCCACTCCGACAAGCGCTCGCTCTATTCAGTGTTCTCTCTCGAATCCGACTCTTCCTCCCAGTTCGCGATCGCCTGGACGACGACGACGGCGACGATTCCGACTCTTCCTCTAAAATCATAAACCCATCGCCGGCGGCGCCTAATCAGTGGCTGAAGTTAGTACCTGAATTTTATAGAGTTTCAAATAGGTCAAGCGTGCGAAAAATTATATTTTAATATCTTATAAATTTTGTTTTACATTTTTGTATATAAAAAATAAAACATTTACAAGCAGGTCCAAAGTGATGGGTACCATGCTCAACCAATGTCCATTTTCAAATTGAAAACAAAATCCAAACCCAACTCTTCATATCCAAACACTATCCAAACCCATATAGAACAAATCCATACCCTATGGCTCGCTCTGAATGCACCACTTAAAAACTCCCGTTTAAGACCCAAGTATAAACCTTCACCGGGTGCAGTACAAGACAAGTATGTTTAAATATTGACTCGGGCCGCTTCATGTACCCTACTTCGATTGTTTGTAACATTATCTAGCGGTTGATTTTGGTGAAAACAACGATCTAAAGCTAAAGTACTTGCAAAGACAAATGGTTTTGACACTAATTGAGAAGGCTTCACCAGGGTGTTGCTCCCCTAGCTAGTAATTACGACTTGATGGATTGAATGGACGTGTGTGGTGAGGGGGTTGTAAACCGTAGGGAAGTCTAACAAGTAGCCAAAGCCACCCTCTTAATCTCTAGGTCGAGGAAAGGGAATATGATCCCAGCCACCAGCGTGACTCTCTCGACCTATTGACTAAGAAATAGTTAGACTTCACCCTCGAATCGGAGTTCGGAAGGCCACCCGCAACCAAACCCTAGGTGCTAATACGAAATAGGAGGTTTGTCGTGCGTTAACCTAACTAGGAGACAATGAATTGCATAAGAAAACCCAACATTCAAGCCTCTTTCACACAAAGGAAGGGGGTTTCTCTCTACCTAGGTTAGAATGACAATTAGATTGATAGCCTTTCACACAACACAATCATTCATGAATAATACCTCCACATTCACATCAAACACAACCACAACACAAAATCATTAATCCATACAAACATTCACATAATTGTAGCTAGGCTTTACAAACACCCAAGTGAAAGAAGGGGCTACTCCATGCTAGTAGAAGGGAAAAGACAATAGAGAAGAAGGGAAACCATCAAAGAGATGCTAGCCTTGCTCCTTGTGTTGAAGAGATCCTCATTTGGGGGAGGAATTCCCAATTCCTTGCTTGAAGATGAAACTCTAGCTTCTTCTCTTCTTTGGTTCGTCACTTTCTCACTCTAGAAATCTGAAGAAGAAGAAGTTTCTCACACTAGGTCTCCCTCATTTTCTCCTTTGGCTCAACCTCCTTTAAATACCAAGATCGAGATTAGTTCACGGTCTTAATTCACGACCGTGAACTGAAAGCCTAGACCGTGAATCAACAATGAAACGCGCCGCATCACTAACTTCTGTTCACGGACGGAGGTCTGAGTTCACGGTCGTAGGACCGTGAACTGGCTTGTGTCCAGCGAAACCCTTATGTGCTCTGGATGCGTAGCAGTTCGCGGGGAACGTCTCCAGTTCACGGTTTAGTGACCATGAACTCACAGCTCAAACAGTGAACTGCTACTGTTTCCACCGTTTGACTCGAGCTTTCGCCCTTTCGTCCAACTTTTGACTCCGGGGTTGGTTCCACCTGCCAAAGCCTGAAACACACCAAAACAAGGCACAACCCGACGTAAAACCAAAACTCCCGAAGTAAAAATGCTTCAAACGACTAAGCAAACCGGGGGTAAAAAGTGTACACATGAGCCCGAATCACCCTACCCATATAGATGGGTCTAATTGGGTTTGAGGGGGAAATACTCATGAGTGGGTTTGGGGAAAGAATCTTTGGCAAACAAGAGACTCCTTTCATGCAAAAGCAAACTAATAAAAAAAAAACAAACTTGTGAAAAAGCAGTAGCAAGTGGAGCAATGGTGAGGGCTTCGTTGATGAACAGAGGAGAAAAGTTGTCTCTCCATCAGCGGTAGAGCCTCAACCTTATAAATATATATTTAAATTTATATGTACAATTTATAATATATTTCAAAAATAAACTAGTTAGAAAGACTTTAGTCTTTTATTAATGTTTATGATAAAATCTCTAAATATAAATTGTTTATCCCTTCTTTGTTCAGATTTCTAGCTCTGTCCTATTATTCTTTTTCTACTCATAAAATATGAAGAAGCATCATTGACAAAATGGAAGCCGATGACGAAGCACGTGTTGATGGACCAGATTAGACCATAAATACTCAACACTTTACAATTATATTTTTATACATAACACTATATAGCCAATTTGACGATTAAAAATGTATGAATGCGAGAAACTATCTGAATGTGTGAGCATTGACTCTAGTAATTCAAAATAATTAATTCTAATAATTCTAATAATTCAAATTATTGAAGGAAAGACCATAAAGGGGGACAAAATGTCCGAACCCATTAGATGAAGTACACAATTCACCCATTCCCCTATATTGTTGTGGTCTCTGTTTCTGAAAGCTGCTACAATAATGGTTCTTCTTCACATCTAAAAAATTTATTGGTCGGTTGATAAATGAAGCAACTCCATTACATTTTTCTACTCTACCAATGTCTCTCCTTTATTTTCATATGTAATAACCCTCTAAGGTAACCGAAAAAAAGAGAGCAAAGAAGAGATATTGACAAACATGTGGAGTGATAGGATTGGCCACAATCTTTCGTTTTGAGAAATTGGTAAGAAAACAACAACTTGAGGCGAAATTCGCTCCTATCCATCAGCTCATTATAATCTCAGAGAAAGGACATTGTAAACGCAAAAAAGGGAAGAATACCTCTAACTCCACACATTCCCCCCACTTCTTTCACTTTTCCTTTTTTACTCTTCTTCTCTTTGATTTTCCACTTCTTTCCCCTTTCCTTCCTTCTCGTCAAACAACACGAAAGAGGGAGAAAAGAAAAAACAATCTCCCCCTGCGCTCTCTCTCTTCCCCCGAAACAAACACACACCGTAGGATTGATTATTGGGTGCCATGTCTACCATTGATCTTTGATATCCTTCTTCCCTGATCTCATGATAATATACAAAGCGAAAGACGAGTAGTAGTAACGTCTATGTTCTTCGTCATCCAAATGTAGACCACATTGATTCATATAAAACACCAAACACAATGTGTTAACGTTTCCACAACCCGAAAACAACAAAACACAGGGACTTGGGAAGAAGAAGAAGAAGAAGAAGAAGAAGAAGAAGAAGAAGAAGAAGAAGAAGAAGAAGAAGAAGAAGAAGAAGAAGAAGAAGAAAAAGAAGAAGAAAACAATGTTGCAGAGAGCTGCAGGCAATGCTTATTCATGGTGGTGGGCCAGCCACATCAGAACCAAGCAGTCCAAATGGCTCGAGCAAAATCTTCAAGGTACCTTACCATTACAATTCCTCAAGTTGAGACAATTCCTGAAAACTTGATGATAACATGTTGGTTTTTTTCTGCAAATTTCAAACAATATTTTTTCTTTCACTGTTATTGCTTTAAGATGTAGTATGCTACATTTTAGTTAATTATCCTTCAACGTTAATCTTGGGGTTCTCTGAAAACACGTTCCTTGTAATGACTAGAAATATCTGAAATTAATTTCTAGATATGGAAGAAAAGGTGCATAGTGTGATGACACTAGTATCAGAAGATGGAGACTCCTTCGCAAAGAGGGCAGAAATGTACTACAAGAAAAGACCGGAGATCATCACTTTTGTCGAAGAAGCTTACAGAGCTTACAGAGCATTAGCCGAGCGCTACGACCACATTTCAACCGAGCTTCAAAATGCCAACAACACCATTGCCTACGTCTTCCCCGAACAAGTCCAGATGGCCATGGAAGATGAAGATGACATTCCTTCCCCACGTTTCCTTAAGAAACTCCCCGCCGCCGGCGAACCACCAAAGGGGAACATCCCAAAAGTGCCCAAGATCCCCAAAGAGATAAAGGGCATGTTCCAATCCGCCACTAAAAAGCTCCAACCCAAGAAATCGATCAAGGTGACAACCGCATCATCATCTCCAGCTGCTCCCAAACCCACTATGTCGAAACCTGAAGCATTCAAGCATATCGATAAGCTTCAGAAGCAGGTTCTGGCTTTACAAACAGAGAAGGAGTTTGTCAAGAGTTCCTATGAAAATGGATTGGCCAAATATTGGGAAATTGATCAGCAGATTAGAGAGATTCAGGATAAAGCTTGCAGCTTGCAGGATGAATTCGGCGCCGAGACAGTGATCGACGATGACGAAGCACGATTAGTGATGACGTCAGCTGCACTGAAATCGTGCCAGGAGACTTTGGTCAAGCTAGAGGAGAAACAGGAAAAGTCGGCCGAAGAGGCTAAGAAGGAGAGGAAGAGGATTAAAGAAGCAAAGGAGAAGCTCAAGTCTCTTCTAAATCACAAGCCTGGTGAAATTGATGGAGAAAAGGGGAAGGAGGAGGAGAACAATTTCGATTTTGCAGCGAAAGAAGTGGCAGAGGAAGAAGAAAAAGAGGAGTTGAGAGCTTTGCAACAGCAGAGGCAAGAGATTGAGGTGTTGAGGGAGAAGATAAAGAAGCATTTCGAGGCAAGCGCAGATTCATCTTTGACGGTCAGTGAGATGGCCGAGAAGATTGATGAGCTGGTGAATAAGGTGGTTGGATTGGAAGCTGCGGTTTCATCGCAATCTGCTTTGATAGAGAGGATGAAGGCCGAGACAGATGAGCTTAATAGTGAGATTCAGAGCTTGGAATGTGATAAAGACAAGTTCGAAAGTGGGGAGACAAGTTTGAATGGGAAGGTGGAGGAGATGGAGAGGAAGCTGGAAGGGATTCAGGAGATGAATGAGAATATTGAAAATCAGAGTACTAATCTGCAAACAAATTTCATGGAGGCAAAATGTAATCTTGATCATTTGTACGATAAGTTGGATAGCGTGAAGCCAGATGAGGAAGTTCAAACTCCACCTGTGCATCAGTTTAAGAAAGCTCCCAAGTTTGAATCATCACAACAACAACCATTTGTTAAAGGGAAGAACATAAGGAATGCTGTTAAGGAGTTTGATAATTCTGTGAAAGTAAGTAACTTTTTTTTTATGATTTCCTACTTACCCGGATGGTGAATTGTTTAGATATTAAGTTAGTGTGTTTGTATCTAATGTGATTGTAGCAAGACAAAGAGAAAAGTCAAAGGGAGTTGAAGCAGCAACAAGTAGCTGATGAGATTAGGCAAGCAAGGGAGGCAAGGGAATCGAGGAAGAAGGTGAGGATTTCAGAAAAGAAGAAGAAGAAGGACAAGCCAAAGAAGGACAAGAAGTCCGTGGAAGAAATTACAGACGTAAAACAAGAAGTTGAACAAGTTGCAGAACAGGTAAAAAATGTTGTTAAAGATGTGAGAACAGAGGAACAAGGATATGCTGTTGAAACAACAAATGGAGTTGTGAATAGAGGAGAAGAAATTGGACAGGACAAGAAACAAGAAGAGCATAAGCCAGGCGATTCTGTTTTTTCTGGTGACATGGGGGATACTAGAACAGAGGTAGAGATCAAAGAACAGGATATTGGGAGCTTGTTGGAAGATGATATGGGAAAAGGAATTCAAACCCAGATGAGAGATGATAGGGAGTCGCTAGAGGATTCTAAAGCAATTTCAAAGCAAATATCTTTGAAGAAAGTCGAGAAACTTGGCTCTGGTACACAAGAAAAGGTAGAAGCAACATCAAATGTTGGTTCTGGTGATGAACAAGAAGGAAAAGGAAGAAAGGATGCAGATGTGAACATAGGAGATCAAATTCAACAAGTGCAGAAACCAGATGAAAACTTCAACCGGTCTATATCAGTTGCTAATAAACATGGTCTTGGTAGCCTGCTGGTGAATGATCCACATGAAGTTCAATATGAAGAGAAACAAAATGACAATACAGAGGATTCTAGTGATGAGAGAACTGTTGCAAAGCAGAAATCTTTGAAGAAACTTGAAATGCTTAGTGCTGAGGCACAAGAAAAGGTGGCAGCAGCTGCAGTCGCTGATGTTGATGTTGATGCACAAGAAAATGCAACAATAAAATCACAAGATGATTTTTGTGGCGAAACACGAGAAAAAACAGCAGCAACAGAAGCATTAGCAACCATGCCCACTACAATTGATGATAATAGTGTTCAAACACAAGACAATGCAGCAGTATTGAAGAGTGAGAGTGAAGATGACGAACCGGATTGGAAGCAGTTGTTTTTGAAAGGTGTGGAGAATAGAGAACAAGTTCTTCTTGCAGAATACACGACCATTCTTCGAAGCTATAAGGAAATTAAAAAGAAACTCACGGAATCAGAGTCTAATGGAGGGGATAACTTGCTTGACATAACCATCCAACTGAAAGAATTAAGGGCAGCAAATGCTAAAAAGGATGAACAGATCCGAATGCTGAAGAAAAGACTCAGCCTCTTGCAGCAGGACAATGAGGACAAACTTGGGTCACCATTCACAACAGATGATATACTACAGGGTTTGAATTTGGATCTGGATGTTGAAATATCTCCCATTGAAGAGAGGTTTCGCTCAAGCATTGATGAAGTTTTGGAGGAGAACTTGGATTTCTGGATGAGGTTCAGCACCACATTTCAACAGGTGCAGCAGTTTGAGACTGAAGTCAAAGACTTGCAATCCGAGTTGTCTGAACTGGAGGAGAAGTTGGGAAAGCAAGAAGGGAGCAGCCATGGGAAGTACAGTCTAAAATCAGATGCAAAGCCCTTGTATAAACACCTAAGAGAGATCCATGCTGAGTTGACGATTTGGATTGAGAAAGGTATGTTGTTGAAAGATGAACTTAAAGGAAGATTCTCGGCTTTGTGTGAGATTCAGGATGAGATCAAAGAAGCTCTCAAGGAGAGTGCTGAAGACGAAGAGTTCAAGTTCACGAGCTACCAGGCTGCAAAATTTCAAGGTGAGATTCTAAACATGAAGCAAGAGAACAACAAAGTTGCAGATGAACTGCAAGCAGGGTTAGATCATGTAACAACCTTACAACTTGAGGCTGAGAGGACGCTGGCCAGGTTGAATGAAGAATTCAAGCTTTCTGGATCCAAGAATCGCCAGAATATCCAGCTTCAACACTCAGAGAGTAGATCTCGAGTTCCTTTGAGATCTTTCATTTTTGGAGTCAAACAAAAAAAGCAAAAGCATTCCATTTTTGCCGCTGTCCATCCAGTACTCCACAGAAAGTACAATGGATTGAGATCAGGACTAAATCTATGAATAATGTTTTCCCCCATTTTCTCAGTCTTCCTCCCCTTTTCTTGGTTGTGTTGTATTTGTAGATTCTCATTATTTAATTGTGTCTATACAGATATCACTAATTCTATTTATGGGTATTCTGTGTCCTTTAGACCATTATAGAGATTTTATGGATAACTTTTAGCATATTAACAAAGTTTTTCGTATGTTCCGAACATATCTAGTTTCTCAATTAAATGTCCCTTGTGATTGGATAAGGCAAAGTAAAAACATTTGAAAAAACAAACACCATTCATAACAACTCATCTAATAGAGAAACAACAATTCTGTTAGTAAACAGGTTTTAATAATATGAACTCATTTCCAGGTAATTACATGATACTTTCCTTTGTCTGCATTCAGATGCATGAAAAAATGATTAAAGAAGCAACAAACTCTCAACAACATGAAGAATGATGAAGTAACTAAAATAAAAAACATGACATAGATGAAGCATTTGTAACAGCACAAGAATTCCATCTTTCCCTTGAAATGGAAACTCTTGAGCTCTTCCGCTAACTAAATGTCAACTCAAAGACTACTTTCGCTCCTCTTCTCTTCTCTATGCGTAGGCCAATGTGATGCATCAACTCTTGGAAAAAGAATCAAATAACGTTGTCTAAGTAAAAGAGTCGGCATAAAGTATCGATATAAGCCTGAATAATATTGCAAAAATTATAGCTTCAATCACATCAGGAAATGGGTGGAAAGCATTTCAATACTTGCCAACTCTTGTATATTGATAACTTCAAGAGTTCATTGGCTTCTCAAAACTAGGATAACAAGACAAAAGAAAACTAAAGAACTTTATGAGTGCCTGCAAATGAGCTATAACATCTTTAGCAGCTCAAGCAACATGAAGTGAAAGGTCGAATGTTGCACAACCACGAGAGTAAACAAGCACATATTGGAAAGGGGAAAGCATACCACGATTCCTGGTAGATAATGCTGAACAAATGAAATCCAGCACGCAGATATCTATGCATATCCCTAGTTCCCTACCACTAATATCTTCAAGATGTCAGGGTATCGACCAGAATGTTAGACAATGCTATATGTAAGAAAGAAATGAAAGGCCACCCACAAAAAGAGCATAATGAAGAAAATAAAAGTTACTTAAACCTTGAATTTTATTGGTCACAACTCACTACCCAATCCACAAACATATTGGACCCATCTTTCTTAACACTTGCAACCCATCAATGCAATCTTTCGGCCTCAGCCTGGCATTAGTTGCATTCTCTAACCACTACAATTCTGCAACATTACACAAACAAAACCCAATTACACAAATAAAACCCATAAATCCTTTCACAATCCTACATTGCGGGGTTCAATGATCAAATTTTGCCATAATTGAAAACATTAATAAAAACAAACAAACAATTACTAGGAGCTAGATTTGCTTCATGAGTACTTGGGATGCAATGAGACGGGTACGGAGGCTTGGGAACGTCAATATGGTGTGTGTCGAGGAAAGAGAACACATGCAATTTCTTATTATAGAAAGCTCGAGATAGCCTCATCAATTCCTCACCCATTTTCAAAAGTTTCTTATCAGGCCGCCTTGGAGCCTATTAATGACCGAAAAAACTCGTGGATTCAATTTGTTGAGATTGGGGAGTGAATTCAAGTGGAACACACGAAAGAGGAAGGAATAGTAAGAAAATTTGCAGATTGGTAATTCTTACCAGGTTGCCAGCGCCAACAATGTAAAAGCCATTAATGATGTCGACCATAATAACCCCGGTTCTAAGATTGCCACCAATAACAAAAGCTTCTTCATTAACGGGAAGCTCGGTCTTCAGCAAATCCATGCTCGTTGACGGAGAAATCGTATCTCCCTTTCTTTCTGATGGTGGTCAAACCAGAGGCCTGAGACCTTTGAATCAGAGAAACAAACAAAGAAGGCGCGAGAACAAAACTATCGAGGGAAAAAAGAGCTTATGGGTCCGGTCGAGTACCTCGGAACATAATCTTTTCTCTGTTCAATCAAAGCCTGCAGAAGGAGAAAAGTGTTGTGGAGGATGAATGGAAGTAGAGCGTTGGGCAAGGGGGAAGGAGTAAGTGGGGAATAGAAGGAGCTTGAATACAATTTGGTTCGTTGCTAAAGCTGAGTGAGATATTCCTTCGTCGTTTACTTGCCTCTCTTTGTCTAGTGTTGTGCCGGATTTGTGGGCTCACACTTTGTTGGGATTGGGTAAGTAGAAAAATCGGTTGATTTTGTTCTCTCTTCCTCCAAACTGGATTTATATAAATTCTATTCAAATAAACTTATTTCAATTTTTGTATTAAACTTATAATAATCTGATATGAGATTGAATTATTAATAATTAATGCAGTTGAATATAAAAAAAGAAACATCTAATACACTTATCGTTAAATTTTTTTGGTAATTCGAAGTTACCATTAAATTTTCTCTTGGTTGAAATAGTTCAAGATTCATAAGATACACAGGCTAAACAGCCCCCAACCTTTACAAAAGCAAAGGAAGAATAGAGATCTCTAAGCCAAGTCTAAAAGTTGACTACAACTATATGTCCTTTGAAGCTGGGTGCAGAACTCAACATATATGCATCCATGCAGTCTCAACTCCTCTCTTACTAGTTCAGCCAACACTTCTGGAGATTTGTGATTTTCCCCAAACACACGCATGCATCTCTCTTTCCAAATTTAACTAATACACCATAACCCACACGGAGCACTCAATTAACCCACTGGCCGCTGCTACTGCCAATTTGTGCTCTTCTGCTCATGAACCCAAACATGTCTTCCCCAAACCAGGTAACACCACATGCGTTCTCAACATAGTAGCTACAAAATCTCATGCGAACTCAGAATCACTAAAAGAGATGACATCTGGTTTCACCTACATTACTACAAAGTATATGAAGTTCATCTTTGATCATACCCGTTCTGGTAGTTATCTATCAACCGATAGTTAAAGTGGTTAGCAACTGACGGTTGAATAGGTTTTGATAAGCCGCAGGCATAGGCAAAAAATAAAGGAGTTGATAAAGGTCGTTCTTAAAATTACTAATGATCGTCCTAAAAAATAATAAAGTTACATTTTTGAGCTTTTGGCATCTTTACATTTTCTTTAGCAAACAAACATCAATTTGACTAAAAAAAATGAAAACATTCAATCTCCCACACTCTCGAATTCATCGTTGACATTCTGGAGTTGTAATCTTCAATAATACGTCTGAATCATGAGTTGCGACTCCGACGAGGTAAAAATCCAAACAAAAAAAAAAAACTAAAAAAATCCAAAACCGCTCAACCGAATCCAATTTTTGGTTGTACCACGATCAACCGAAAACTATCTTCGGTTGAGCCATGGGGCAACCGAAGGTGATTTTCGGTTGGTCCATGACACAACCAAAAATTGACTTAGGTTGAGGGGTTTTTGGGAGAGTTTTTTTGGTTTATATCTATAATTTTCTATTCTTTTGCTATGATTTATGGTTCGGTCCATAAGATAATTTGTTGGATTTTGGTTTATATTTTTTTAGATTTATGGAAAGGGGAGGGGTTGTTTGTTTTGTGTTTCATTTTGAAATTCAAAATGGACAATCCGGTAAATTACGTATTAAGTTAGGACGATGGTTAGTAATTTTTCGGACGACTTTTAACCATTCAGAAAAATATTTTTAAAGACCTACAAGATCTTTTGCCTACCCTAGTTGTAATAGTGACTTAAGTTCAAATAAGAGTAATTTCAAGTAAGGGCTTTAGAAGGAGTACAGTAGAAAAATGAACTTGTGCAAAGTAGTTCGACAACAATCAGTAATATTTAAACTTCCATATAATTTGATGGAGTTTATGAGTTAAGCAATTATTTTTGGGTCTCTTATTCTTGTCTGCTTATTTAATCAAATATGATCATAAAATGTTGTTTATTGTGTAAGTGTGTTGGATTGAGTTGATTATGGTTTGATATCTATGGTAAATTGTTTTTTTTTTCAATTATGACAACTTAAAACATAACACATACATATGTAGGAAAAAATCTATAAAATTGCATAATTGAAAAAAGGATGATGTTTTTTCTTTGTTTAGATATCAATCGGTTGTTTTAGTATAACCTTGTCGAATCACTTGATTAACGGTTATCTAGTTAACCGACATAATAATCGATAACTTACTATACAGTTAACCAACTAATATAAATGGTGCATTTAATGGTAAGCGCAAAGTGTTTAACAGTTGATCGATAATTGAACCGAACCGAAAGTTAACAGTTACACCAGTAATCGATTAAACAATAAACGATAGGTTCCTAGTAGCTAATTTTAGATAATTATTAACCGATGGTTAAACGGTTGGTAACTGACGGTTGAACGACTAACCGATTATAGTAATCCTTAGTTATGATAGAAAATAATAGGCATTTATGAGTCGCGACATATGCCAAAAGTAATGGGATGTTTGAAAACCTACAAGATTATTTGCCTACGCTAATTGTAATAGTTACTTAGGTTCAAATATGAATAATTGTCAAGTAGTAGTGATCTTCCCTGTCGATCATCGTCTCTACAACGAGGAAGGCCAACATGGAGATCATGGAGCAACCAAGCGTAGTGATCTAAGAGCGACAATTGGGGAAGTTCTAGTTTTTTAGGGGCATCCGTCTCAGTTTGGTCCCACTGTCTGTAAGGAAGTGGTTAACTAGTTCTTGACATGATATCAGAGCTGGTTTATTATTGAGGTCATGTGATCAAGTCTTCACAACTTCAAATATTAACCGTTGTCCCATTATTTTTACATTTGGCTCTATGGCGGGCAGAATGAAGGAGGAGATTTGTCGTTGTCCCTGTTGCTAACAATATAAACGTCTTTTGGAAATGTATCCAAAAGGGAATCTTTTATTCAAATGAGCATTTCTACTATGTTAGAAAACATTGGTGCTTTGTTGTACAACTTAAAGTTGTACCATAAAATTAAATGTATAAGTGCAGGTTGTATAATAAATGAATTTGTACCCTTATGTTATGGTAGAACTTGAAGTTGTACAATCACATAAAGGTACAAGTTCAAGTTGTACCATAAAAGAATTTGGACAAAAAAGTGTAGGTACAATTTAAAGTTGTACCATAAAGTTAAAGGTACAACTTCAAGTTATACCATAAAGGTAAAAACCTATAGCACCAATGCTAAATAGTATTGTAAAATTCATCAAATAAAATATCTCCTACAACTAAAAAAATAAATAGGCAAAAAGTAATATATCTTTTAAGTTAGGATGATTATAGTAGAAGTTAGCTCGATAATTAGCAATTCCCAAATTTTATCGACCTTTGGTCTAAAATTGTTTATAATCTTTGTCAAGCCACTAAACCAAAATTAGGGAAGACAAAAATATCTGTAACTATGGATGTTCGCCCCATCCCACCTAATGGGTAGGGTAAAACTCGAACCCGAAGGATTTTCAGTGGGTACTGGTAAAACCCGAACCCGAATATTGCGGGTAATAGGTGGGCATAGTTTTCCCACTATTTAATTCGAACCCGCCCGATTATTCACATGCATATGTAGGGATGGGAATCTTGACCAAATCATATTGGGAACCGCGATCTGGACCGTATTGTATGGTCTCCTCCTTTAGTGTGTGGTCTGATGTGGTCTAGACCACAGTAAACCGTGGCAGACCGTGACGCACTACCTACTAACTCGGACAAAAATAACACTAAATGAAACCTCCATTTATGTATTTGAAGAACAAAATTAGTTGATTATTCATCCAGTTGAGAGCCACCATATTGCCCAGATGATCGCTTATGCATTATCTTCTTATCAAAGAACCATACTATTACAAGAATGATTCATGAATAATATTAACTGATAATGTATAGACTATGGAGTCGATAAAATAGAAACACTAGAAAAAAATTCACTCACCATAATGAGATAAGGAAAATTATTGAGGGATAAGTCACCATCTTATCTTATTGGTTCAAAAAGACATTGACATCATCACGGCGTGAACTGTTGTGAGAACCTTCCGGATCACTCCGAGAGAGGGAGAGAAGCGGTCGCACAAAGAGAGGGAAACAAGGCTATTTGATGTCTGTTTTTTCAATGGATACTGGGTAGAGTCGTGGAAACCAGATAAAGTTTGAAAATTGAAAAAAAAATTCACTCATCCCCTCATATATTTTTTCCATTTTAATTATGATGACTAAATTTTTATAGCCCTAGCATATTGATTAATGACACTTTTATTTTTGTAGATACCGAAGAGGGTTGGATGGCGGAATAAGAATGACTTTCGTAACATGGTTATTTGTTTGCCTACTACAGATCGTACTGGACCGCACCACATAGGCGTGGTCTGGTTTGTACTGTATAGTATATGGTCTTGCCCATGGTATGTGTTTCAGCCTCTTGGTTTGGACCATACGATATGGTCTGGTCCGGACCGCACTGTTTCCCACCCCTATGCATATGTATTTTTCTACAAATTATTATTATTTTTCTCAACATATTTGATGTTTAGGATACAAAAATAATATTTTCATGAAATTGAGTTTATTTCTTCATTCTAGTAATTTATTTTCGTATTTTATGTATGAATGTTAACATGTTAGTTTGAGTGCTGACGACGGAGAGATCTAACCAACCGCTCCCGCAACCGCCGGTTGCCGGGCGACGATACCGACGACAGAGACGCCAGCGAATCGGTGACCGAAGATCGACGAGTCCGACTCGCAGAGACAGAGGTGAGGCTCGAACGTGCTAGGGCTGCGGAAGCTGAGTTCAGCCAGTGGCTGGGGGAGATGAAGCGGTTTGTGTTGGTAATGGAGATTCTCGAGTC